CTAAGAGTTCCCGCTCTGGAGAAATCCTCTCAGTCCAAGAAAATTTGGGAGACTCTGCTTGCGGTGAGGGAGGGCACAAAGGCAACGAGTCCCAGGTGCCCAGAGCTCAAGTCAGAGCAAAGGGAATACAAAGTTCCCAGGCTGGTTCCTAGGTCTCTGTTCCCCACTCCGTGGTACTGGAAGAGGTGTCCCGTTGCATCAGCCGCGTTGGACCCTGGGCAGACCCCCTCCAGCCCCTCCCCTCGAGGCTGTACCTGGTCACAAGCCGGGCAGCGCGGCCGCAGCAGCTCTGCGTGATGACGGCCGCAGTAGAGACGCCCATCGTGGTAGAAGTAGATGAGGTTTATCAGGGCCTGGCCACAGGCCTGGCAGGCAAAGCAAGCCCGGTGCCAGCAGCGCTGCTCTCCTGCCTGAGCTGTGAACACTCCGTACTCCCCTGGCCTCAGCCGCTCCCTGCACTGCGGGGTGCGGGTGCTGCGCTGGTCAGAGGCCACACCACCCTCCTACCTTCTCTCCTGGCTCTTCCATCCCAGCCTCAACCTAACTGTTCTCCCCATATTCTGGCAAGCCCACCTCCACTACAGGCTCCACGAAGAACCCCTAAATTTGGTTTCCCTTTTTCCTAAGCTTTGCCAAACTGTCAATCCCCAAACCCCTTTTCCCCCTCCAGAGTTCCAGAAGCCAGCCCCTTCTGAAGAAGTGAGAGGGCAAAGAGGAGGAAGGGGAATATTGGGGGGAGGGTGCTACATACCTTTTCACAGGTGCATTCTTCAAGCTTGGGAGGTACTAGGCGGGCCACCCCCTGTCCCAGGGCCTCCCGCCTCCGCTGGGCACAGAAGAGCCGCAGCTCAGCCAGCTCCTCCTCCCCAGGGGCCAGGCAATAGCGCTCCTGCAGAAACAGAGGTCCACTGTGACCGGGAGAGCCCCAGCAGGCAAGGTTGAAGTTTGACTGGAGAGGGGAGGTTTAGCTGCTGGGTCAAAGGAAGGTTGTGAAACCTCAGGGAGGTGCAGGAGATAACAGCACAGAAGGGTACTGAGGAGAGGGAAGGAGGGAAAGAACTGGCATAAGTCCACCTCCGTCTCACTCCCCCCACCCCAGGAATGGTGATCGCTCAGGTCCTGACAGCCCTACAGTACTTAGCCCATCTCCATATATTTAGATCCTGGCTCCCAATGAGCTGTAGCTTAATCACTTCCCACTGTATTTTCCCTATTTACTCCATATTCTCCTGCCTCGCCTCCCCAGCTGAACTGGAAGCCTTTAGACTGGGCACACAGAGGCCCTCAATAAATGCTTAACCACCATACTCTCTACATTTGTACATTCCATTATCAGTTTCAAAAGCTGGTCATGTCCATTTTCTCATTTGCTCTTCAACTAAGCATTGTGGTGGGCAGAGCAGATGTTACTGCACCCATTATGTAGTTGTGAAAGCTCAGGCTGGGGGTGGGGGATGACTTCCCCCAATTAGTGGCAAAGCTAGGCCTTAAATGCATGTCCCCTGCCCTTTGGACCAAACTTCTTCCCACGGTAAGTAAAGAAAGGGAGGCAAGAGAGAGGAAAGCTGGGGAGAGGGAGACCCACATCGCTGTCCTGCGGAGGGAGCTGCTGCAGGAGGGTCCGCAGTCCAGGCCAGCTGGGGGCTTGGTTGATGTCCAGGCCAGGGTTCCCCAAGCTCAGGACTTCAGGATCCTGAGGAAACGCAGCAAAAGGAGAGAAGCAGAGCTCGGCTTTTCCTTCCTTCCCCTTGTTTCCTTCCCTCTTCATTGCCACCTCTTCACCAATCTGGAACAACATCCAAGCACCCCCCTCCATTTGGAGGATCCACCTTCAAGATCACAAGGACAACTGATCCACTCCCATGTTTATGGTCTGATTGAGGCAGGTCAGGGGGGGCACACTGCAAAACAGCTTCCTTCTTATGCTTGAAATCACCCCTTTCACTCCTTAGGGGCAAAGTCCCTAGGTTCTGCTTTGACAACACAGACCCCCTAGGAGAGTATTCATGTATTCATGTGGATAAGCTTAAAGAAGTTGAACCCCTGTGTCCTGAGAGGGCTGTAGGGACAGGGATTCCTGCAAAGAGAAAGGGCTGCAAGAAGTTGGGCACAAAGGCTAACTACCTCCCACTTGGTGGAAATGGGAAGAGGTCCAAAGGATGGAGGGGATGTTGGTCTCAGAGGGAAGGGCAGGACCCCTACCACCTGAGCAGAGGTTTCCTCAGGGTCCTCCTCTGGCACGTGACCTGGGTTGCTGTCTGAGTTGACTGGTGGATTTGGCTCCGGAGGGGTCAGCCTCTCCCCTCGGTGGGGCGAGCCAGAGTTCAGCAGTGACATTGGTGGCAAAGTCTGCACAGAAAACAAGACGCCTCCCATTTATTGGGCCATGACAGTGTGCTAGGCAGGCTAAATGCTTTCTGGGCGTTATCTCCTTCAGTCCTCCCAACAGCTATGTGAATCAGGTGGTATTCTTATCACCATTTTACAGATGGCCCAATTGAGGCTTGGAAGGCGTACATGGTCTGCCCAAGGTCACACAGCTAGTAAATGGCAGAGCCAGAGCTTGAGGCCAAACCTTTCAGCTCCAGAGTTTCTGAAGCTCAAACTCGGGGGTCTCCCAAGATTGGGATGGAGGAAACAGGAGGCCCATAGTGGAAGGAGAGGGCATTTTGCCTTTCTGGTGAGCCTTTGGGTAGACTGGCCCCTTGTTCCCCACCTCCCCTGCCATAGCTCCCACCACTTCTCACTGTGCACTCAGCAGCACCCAGTGAACCTACTTCCTCACCTCTCCCTGCTTCTCCCACTGTAGGCTTGGGCTGGGTGAAAGGAGCACTTGACCGGGAGGCCCTTCTCAGCCTATCCAGCCTATACCAACTCTCCTTTCCCTGAGCTCCAGAAATAAGTACAGTGGGTGCCCCAAGATTTAGCACCTAATGTTTCTCTTTGCTCCCTGTGTCTCTCTCAGCTCCTCATCTAGTCTATCATCTCCTCCAGGACAGACAAAATCCTGTGCTTCTATCTCTAGTGGCAACTTCATTGGATAATTCTAAGTGCATCTCTTCAGCCCTCCTCTGGGCAAGCCCTGGTATGGCCACAGTATCTTGGGGATAGGAGGTGACTACTGAAGTAGAAAAGGGATGGGCCCTGCCCTCAAGGAGCTCATAGTCTACTGGGTAAGGCACAGATGAAACCAGGCAGGATGGGGCCAGGGTTCTGGGCAGATATACACAGCACCCTAGGAAGAAAAAAAAAAAACAGAGTAAACTTTTCTAGAATGTTTACCCTGTGCCAGGGACTTTTCCAGCATGTTACATAATATAGTCCATCTTCACAACAATCCTGTGAGGTAGTTTCTATTATCCCATTTTACGGTTGAAACAAACAGGTTAAACTTGCCTGAGGTCACATTAGAAGGCTAAGGGAAGCTTTAGAGGAGGAGGTTGCCTTTGAGAGCTGGGCTGGATTCTAACGGCAGCTGGGCACAGGAGGGCATCACCAAATCCCTGGCCTCTATAAGACCCAGCTTTGGGGCTGGGAACAGGGTTTGGACTGTGACAATTATAGTGTTTCCCAGCCCGGAGCCCCGCCCTGTGCCACCCTTCCCTGCTTCCTGGCTCCACACCCATCTGCTTCCTTCCTGTTCTGTCCCTCAGATCAGGTTTCCTGTGGAAGGCAGCCAGGATGGGCTGTTCACACCCAGGGCCAGGAGTAGCCACTTCCCCTGGGGCTCCAGGAGGCAAGAGATGCTTGGGGGAGGGGGTGGGCATCGAAGCAGGGTATCTGGGTCCCCAGAGGAAACTTGCACCCCTCTTCCAGATTAGTTCTAGTTTGCATGAAGTCATCCCACACAGGAACAACACTCAGAAATCAGTCTTCACCCTTCACCCTCATCTCCCCAGGGAGGCATAACTCCACGTCCACTTAGCACTGGACCCCACTTACGTGCTGGATTCCTTCCAGAATTCCCCTCCCCCCTTACAAAAGGGACAAGACTGAACCCCCTCCCCGCCGCCCGCGCAGGTGTAACCAGTCTCAGGAGTTCTACCTTCCCAACCCACCCCTGCCCTGAAGGGCAGAGTCTAGGGATTGGGAAGTGGCGGGGGAGGGGGAGGGTGTAAGGGATGGAAGGTTTCCCGGGACAGTGAGAGGAAGAAGGAGAAGAGAAGTGTCTGGTCCCGCCAAGTGCCCTCTCGACAGATCCCCAGTTTTTTCTTGGGCATGTGGGGCCCACCTCCGAAGTGGGAAGCGGTGTGGCTCCCGAGTCACCTGGGGTTCCCAGTCTGGCTGCTGGGAGTTTAGGGGAAGGGAAGGAACTCCGCCGGGGTCTCACCCTCGCTGCGCGCTGTTGTCCGGGCAGTTCTGGACAGACCCTGCCGTCAGGCCCTTCACCCAGTTCCCACTCTCAGGTCTCGATACCCGCCTCTGCCCGCCCCGGGAGCGCGCTTTCCGCTCCCACGCCCCCCGCGGGCCCTGCCAGCCCCTCTGGGGCTGGTAGAGCCGGACGGGGGGCGGGGCCTAGAGCTGCCGACTGAAGGAAAGCATTTGAGGGATCTCGGGTGGAAAGTGTGCAGGTTCCACTGCCTCCGTGCCCATGGGCTTAGCACTGGGACCGCGTCCCGGCGGGCGCGGAGCAGACCCTCGGGAGCCATCGTTATGCCGGGTCCTCAAGCACTCGCGGAACAGAACGCCTTTCGGAGCCCTTAGGTCCCCCCAGACCTTCCTTCTGGTCTCCTAGCCCCGCCCCTCTCTGTGTGTCCCCACCCCCACCTAGTTCCCTCCCCCTTGTCCCCAGCCCCTTTCTGGGGTCCCTAGTCCTGCCCTTCTTCCTTCCATCCCTTCAGGCTCCTCCCCCAATCTTTCGTGTTTCTCCCCCGCCCCGCCCGCCGCTCGGGTACATTTTCTGATCCTGGGAGTGGAAACCTTTGGTCCTACCTCTGGTCCCCCTCAGCCCCGCCCCTAGCCCCGCCCCCGTCCCAGGCTCCGCCCCGCCCCCGCCAGGCTCTCTCAGTCACTGGCCCTGAGCGCCCTCTGGCGTCTGCGCATGCTCCCTGCGCCCTACTGCAAAGTCCTCCAAAGGGACCTTCTAGGCTGCGCGCCGGTCAACCCCGATCGGGTCCGCCCGCCCGCAGCGTCTCGTCTGTGCTACCGGTGACCTCTGACCCCGCCGCCACGGGGCGGGGAGGCCTTAGCTCCGGGCGGGTGGCGGCTGCTGCAGCGGGACCCGGGAGCGGGGCCCGGCGCCGCCCGGGCCGCGGGGCGATGTGAGTCGGGGCGCGGCGGGGCGGGGGCGAGGCGGCTCCGCCGAGGCCGCACCGCGCCGCGCCGCAGTCTCCACTCCCTCCCAAGGAAGCCCCGGGCGGGCGGGCGGTGGAAACCCGGGCCTGGGGGCGGGGATCCAGAGACAACGGGCGGCCCTGACCTCCCCTATTCCTTCCCGGTATCTAGAAATTCGCCTGTTACCTAAATCTGTCTCTAAGCCCCCAGAACCACCCCACCCCCACCCCCGGACACACCTTCATGTGTCCTGGAGCCCTCAGAACCCCTCACTCCTGCAAATTCCCCTGATACGCTCACAGAGCACCATTCTCTCCTGGATGCCCCCAAATGCTTCCACCGCCCTGAAATTCCTCTGAGTCTTCATGCCCCCCATTCTCCTTGCACCGTGCTCAAGTCCAAAAAATTTGTCCACATTTCCCTGATCCCTCTCATACGTTTTGAGTCTCTATAACCTCAAACTCCCACCCCCAATCCACACCTGTCTCAGACCAGCGACCCCTCCTCCTCCCACCCGATGTAACCCCCCTCATTGGGCTGTCGTGATATGTCCTGGTATCTTAAAGAGAAGTGAAGGGGACAGGAAGAGGTGCAGCACCCTCCCCCATCTTGCACCCTGTAGTTCTTGGCTTCACCCCCAGACTCCCTGTTGGTGGCTCAAGCCCCAGTATTTACCCAGCTGTCTGCCTTTAGGCTGTGCATACCTTCCTCATCCTGCTGCCCCCTTCCAGAGAGTAAGCCAGACCAAGAGGGTAGGGGTCCTTTTACCTGGGAAGTGTCCAAGGATGCAGAGCACCAGGGGCCCTGGGAAATGACATTGTTTTTCCAGAGCAGGAGGGTGGGATTTCAAGGATCTCCAGGGTACTGGCTTGTCGACTTGTCCACGTAGGGCTCAGATTCCTGAAATTGTGATTGATGGTTAGCATTTATGTTAACTGTCAGGCCTTGCAGAGTTTGGAGAACAGAAAATCTATCAAGCTTCCACGTGTGAGATTGAAGGAGCTTGTCCTAGAAGAGGAAAATGTTGATTTAGCTAGGTTTGTCCTACAAACTTACCTCTAAAGGTTATTGAAGCTAGAAGTTCCACAGTTGACAGATGTTTCCCTTCAAAACTAAGGCCTTGGGGTGGGAGTTGGGGGTGGTGATGGAGAATCTACTTGGCAGACTCTCCCAGATACTTAGTAGCAATAAAAAAGACTACTGGTTCCCTGAATCTTAAGCCATTGCTCTTTCTAATACGTCTTAGTGTCCTTTTGAGAAAGCTCTCTGTAGAGTTCAAGTTCTCAGCAAAGGTAAGGTGGTGATCTTGGTATCGGTTTTAACAGGATTCAGGTGGGGTCTAGAGGTGACTTAAAATGTCCTGGGCTGCCTCAGACTTCAAAGTCACTGATGCGAGGGGAGTCTGTCCCTCTCAGGGCCTCTGGGGCTTAGAATTTGTGGTCCCTTTGCTCTTGATCTCACTTCCTTCATTGGTGTTTCTATCCCATTAGGGCTGGAACAGATATCCAGGTGGGATGGACTGACGGCAAGTCAGTTTCATTAACAATTGGGGGTGAGAATGGAAGGTTTCCACTAACCTGTGGTCTCTGTCTCCTATGCTAGGTGAGCCCCAGGTGTGTCCCAGGGAGATCCAGGTGACTTCTCTGCAGACTGCTTGCCATGACACCCCACCAAGAACAGGGGGAATAAAGTGGGGGTCCTTCCCCATGCCCCTCCCATGGTCAGCTCCCCGATGGCCTGGGTGAGGTGAGAGCTGCGTATAGGAGCCACTTTTCTGGAGTTTTCCAAGTTGAGAGGAGTAGAGGGTGCAAGTCAGCATTGTTCAAGGCTTTACACTTTCAGCAGGCGTTCTAGAAGGATATCTAATCCTGCTGATTCATTTCTTGCAGAAAGTTGCAAACCCATAACTTCTGGTTGGGAATCGGCCCATGTGTTTGCTTGCTCCCTTAGGTCACTGGAGCCTGGTGGTATCACCTCCATCCTAGGCACAGGCCCAACTGTTGTGACCTCTAATTTGAGTGCCATCATCCTTGAGGAACAATCCAGATATTAGGGCCTCTGTTCTCCCCTTTGGACAAAGGGGAGCAAACCCAGCGTTTCTTTTTTTAATGAAGAAATACCAACTCAAGGTTATCAAAGTAGTGCTCTGTTATAAATGTTCAGTCTTCTGAGTGTATCTCTTGACCATAACGTAACATCTCATTTGAAGAGAACATCAAAAAGATAAATTTGAGGTGGATGTTGGGATGGTGGTGAGGAAAGAAAAGAGAGGATTTGGATGATGTGGGAGGAATGAGGTGGAAAAGGAGGAACAAGGAGAAGGGTCCAGGCCAAAGTGTCTGGGACTCCCAACTACAGTTTCTTCACTGAATCTGGAGGAGGGCACTGGGCTGGCACCCAACTCCTGATGCAGGTCACTTCATCTGGGTCCCTACTTTTAACCATGCTTTTCCTGCTGCCCAGGCTGCCCTTCCCTATCATTACATCAGTCAGAATCCTGCATACTTCTCAAGGTCCAGATCAAAAGTTGCCCCTATGAAGCTCTCTCCATCCCCCCATCAGCATTAATCCTTAACGCGTCCTAACTTGAATTAATGTTTATCCAGTGTGTGTCTGGCCCTGGATTGAGAATGTGAATTCCTTGAGGGAGGGACTGTGAGTCTTAGACAGAGTAGGTGATCAAAACGAGGTGGTTCGGCCAGTGTTCCCCAGAGCAGGGCTTTTGGGAGCTGACCTCGATGACCTTCCTGTCCCTTGTGTTTTTCCCTAGGGCGGGCCGGCTGCTCTGACACCATGGGGAGCTGCTGCAGCTGCCTGAACAGAGACAGCGTCCCAGACAACCACCCCAGCAAGTTCAAGGTACCCACAGCCCCCTCCTCTCCCACATTCCCAGCACGGCCTCCTGGGCTCGGCCCGAGCTGTCGAGTTGTTCAGCCTCCCTAGAGAAGGTGAAATGACTGGCTGAGGTTGTGGGCTTCGCAAGCTCAGGACCTCTGAGCAGCACCAAGGAAAACGGGCTCAGGCCACTGCCTTTTTCGTGGCTCTTGGTATTACTAAGAATGAAGAAATGCTGCAATAGAGTAGCAGAGATTGTGCTTTCAGAATGTTCACTCCTGTCAGTGTATCTTTGTAACTTTACATTATAACTTTTCGGAGAAAACAACAAAAGTCTGTATTTGTGAATTAACATGTGTCAAGTATTTCAAACAGTGCTTAACACATGTTAAGCACAGTATTAGTGTTTGCTGTTTGCTTTGGGAAGCTGAGGCCGGGCCCAGTGGACCTGTGTGCACCCCCGCCTTGCTCCTTCCACCTCCCTGTAGGGGGCGCCCCCTCCCCACCTCGGCATCTTGAGGCCCAGGTTTCTCCTGCTCACCAGGAGAGGGAACCCTCAGCAAGGTCCTGCAGTTGGGGAGGTGGTGGAGGCCTTTATATTTGTTCTGCTTGGGTTTGACTCTCCCAGGGTCTTAAGATTTTGAACTTACAATAGAACCTCTTCTCCCATTAACATCTGGACCATTTGGGGTCATGGACCATTTGGGGTCATCTAACTTTGCACGTCTAACCATCTGACCTTGGGGGTCGACTAGCCACCCCTCCCCTCACTGCCCAAATGACAAAACTAAGGCCTAGGGAACTGTAGTGGGTCAGTGGCACCGCTTCATCCGTGTCCCAGTAATCGTGTGGCATTCCCAGTGGCTCACGGACCTGGACACACTTGTTGGACTCACCCATTTACCCTTCTGTCCCCTGCCCCTGCCAGGTGACGAATGTGGATGATGAGGGGGTGGAGCTGGGCTCCGGAGTGATGGAGCTGACGCAGAGCGAGCTGGTGCTGCACCTGCATCGGCGCGAGGCTGTCCGCTGGCCTTACCTCTGCCTGCGGCGCTATGGCTACGACTCCAACCTCTTCTCTTTTGAGAGTGGCCGCCGGTGTCAGACTGGCCAGGGTGAGTACCAGCCCCTGCCTCACGCTGGGATGGGGGCTTGTGCGCCTGGGACAGGTATTGGGGCTGGAAGTCGTAGCTTGAGGGACAGTGGGGAAGTCTGTCCACTTGGCAGGTGTTGCCCAGAGAAGGGAAGGATTGTGGCCAAGAGCACACAGAACTAAGTGGACTCCCAGGCCAGTGCTTTTTGTCTTCGATCATTGCAACTCCGGCCTGGGTGGCTCTGTGAGGTCATTTGTTGCACAGCCCATGGGAAGGAGCCAGTGCTCCCAGACCTGGGAAAGCAAGCGATTCCTCCTCCCTCTCTTACTCTAGTTTCAGGGTCCCTCTTGCCCCCTAAGTAGGAACAAACTGAGCCCCAAGTCATATACCCTGGTTCCTGTGTATAATGAAAGGTCAGGCAAGAGCTCTGGCTGCCTTGGGGCTGTGTGGCATGGGAATGATAGATTTGGGGAGGTCCATGGTATACAGAGTAACCCTCACGAGGTTAATCTTTGTCTCCTGTCCCTTGTGGGTGATGCAGTGTGATGTATTCTGCCTTCTTCCCCTTTCTCCCTGCAGCCAGAGGTCAGGGACGGGTGGGTTGCTCCATGAAGTCAAGGCTGGGGCCAGCCGGGGCTCTTTGAAGGGGTCACATGGTCTGGGCCTTCTCTGAGGACACAGGCCTAAGCTCTGCTAGAAGGAATCCCACAAGGGATGGTGTTCAATGCAGTGTGGAGGTGTGACTGCAGGGATGGAATGAGCAAGCTCCTCTGATGAGGCCACCAACACAACAGTGTGTCTCTGAGGTTGTACTGGCTGGGGGAGCCCTCCCCTCTGTGCACCTTACCTTTGGAACTCATGAGGCAGAAGCAGTTAACGCTGGCTGAGCAGAGAGAGGGGAGGAAGGGGCCTCTCTGCTCCCGGTGGTGATTAATCCACACTGGAGATCCCAGAAGAGCTCCCTAGGCCCCGACACAGGGTTCTTCTAAAACTCCAGGCTTTCCTAACCTTTTCTAAGCTCTTGACATATCTTGGAATGAGCTATAATAAATAGAATAGAATGAGGAAAGAATAGCCCTATTCCTTCCCCTCCTTTCTATTCTTCTAATCCCATTCCTGCAGACCTCATACCCCAACCTAGTTTGTCTTTGTTTGGAACATGCCCATGTACATCCCAAGTGGCTTCCCCTGAGTCCTGGGTCCCACTGTTACACAGGGGGAGTGCAGAATCCCAGGCCGGCCCAACACCCCAAGAGCATCTTTGGATCCCCGGAGTCGTGTGTGCTCAGCCCAGTCCTGCTGTGCCAGGACCGTGAGTTGCTGCCTTAGAGTTTGAGGGGCTGTAAGGCTGGCTGCATGGAGGAGCCACATGGTTGCCTTGCCATGTTTGTCCTTTAGCTAGTCAGCCCACCCTTCCTTTCTGCACCAGACTTCAAGCTCCATAAGGCCAGGGGCCTATACACAGTAGACAGTCACTCTCTGGCCTGGCACTGGACTAAGTATGCAGTGAATAAGCAGTGAAGAGGACAGACCCTCCCACCCTCAAAGAGCTTAGAGGCTGTTGGGCACAGAGCTGAGGGCTAGTGCCCTGGCGGAGCTCATTTTTCTGGGGAGTAAGGGGCGGCAGGCAGAGGAAGATGGGGGCAGCATGTGAGGTGGAGTGGTCACTCATCTGACACTGTCCCTTCTGCTTTGATTTTTTACTTCGCTTCCCTTCACCCTGGTGCCCACACATCCTTATGAAAAGGATTTAACCTCGGAGGAATGTAGCTGAAGTATTAGATCTTAAGATGGTGGTAATGGATAGAGTGTGTTAGGGTGGGCCACGGGGGCCTGGGGCCAGCTCCTCCTGTGGCTCTTAGACTTTGGAGGGTGCTGGGGAGAATGCCCAGTGTGAGGGCCTCTCCCACCTCTCTGCAGGCCTGGGACTGGAGGTCAGGGACTTGTCCTGAGCTCTGTGCATCTGTTCAGCCTCTCTAGTCCTTCCCTTTAGGACACAGGGTCAGAGGAGCCTCATTTCTTCCTCTCCTTCTTCAGGGATATTTGCATTTAAGTGTTCCCGGGCCGAGGAAATCTTCAATCTCCTCCAGGATCTGATGCAGTGCAACAGCATCAATGTGATGGAAGAGCCAGTCATCATCACCCGCAACAGCCACCCGGCTGAGCTCGACCTCCCTCGGGCCCCCCAGCCTCCCAGTGGTGAGGAGACCCCCCCCGCACCGCCTCAGCACCCCAGTGCACACGCACATGCACGCACGAGCATAGCCCCAGGAAGCACCAGTCTTGTAGGCATGAGTCAGGCAGGCAGGCGAGGGGATGGCTGGGTGAGCCAGGCTTCCAGGACCGCCATCCATCATCCGACGACTCCTAGGGATGGATAAGTCCTGGCCTGGGCCAGTCAGGTGACTCAAGCGGAGGCTGGGGAGTCCAGGGCCTTGTATTGATGGATGGTCGGGGAACAGACAGGAAGACATTGGGTTTCCATGGAAACGGCAGTCTGGAGCTGTTTTGCTTCCTTCCTTCTGGCTACTGGATCATACGCATATACCTTTCCTGACGGCTTATGCAGGCACCTCTGCCCACGGCTGTCTGGAGAGGTTCCCACAATTTCTGCTTGTTCATTCACTGAATCACACTGAGCACCTGCTCCGTGTCTGGCACTCCATCGGCTGGCCCGTGGGGGACAGAAGAAATAGGAACACGGTCCTTGATTTCGAGGGGCTTCCCTGGAGCTCAGTGGCAGAGCTGGAATGAGGTGAAGGGTCGGTCCAGTGACGACAAGGTGTGCCTTAAGTGTTTCAGATAAGGCTGTGATGGGGAAGTGGGGTTCAAGCGGAGCTGTGAGGGAAAGGGCAGGGTTTGGAGAACAGATACAAGGTGAAGATAATGGGGGACTGCCAGTTCAGCGGGGCTGACCCCCTGGGGGCCTTGGGAGTGTCTCCCCTCCACTTGGAGGAGTCCCAGGATGCCACACACACGGTTGCAGGTAGTTGCCAGGTGGTTTAAGGACCCCCTTGTCTCCTGTGTGCCCAGCTCTAGGCTACACCGTCTCCAGCTTCTCCAATGGCTTCCCTGGCTGCCCGGGAGAGGGTCTGCGATTCTCAGTGCCCCGGCGCCCCTCGACAAGCAGCCTGCAACACCCATCGTTTGGGGAGGAGGCCACCCATGCCCTCATTGCTCCCGATGAGCAGGTGAGCACGTGGCTGCCTGGCGTCTTCCTGTGGGTCTGGGTGGGGCTGGGGGTCGGGAAATATGGCATCTCCTCCCAGTGAGGATCGCGAGAGGGAAGAAAGTTGATAGAGTCCCTTCCTGTCCCAAGAAAGGGAGGCAGCTTCCCTGGAAGGCTAGGAGGACAAGGAAGAGGAGGAGACTGCAGCTCCTTCTCCCTGTGCTTCTCTTCTCTCACCCTGTCCCCTGTTCTCTCCTTCCTCTCTGCCCTCGGACCCTCCTGCCCTTGGACTCTTTCCCCCCAGTCCCACACCTACGTCAACACGCCAGCCAGTGAGGATGAGCGCCGCAGGAGCCGGCACTGCCTGCAGCCCCTGCCTGAGGGCCGGGCGCCCCTTGCCCCACAGGCCCGGGGCCCCGAACAGCGGGACCCGCAGGTGTTCCTGCAGCCGGGCCAAGTGAAGTTCGTGTTGGGCCCCACCCCGGCTCGGCGGCACATGACCAAGTGCCAAGGCCTCTGCCCCAGCCTGCATCACCCGCTCCACCACGACAATAACAACGAGGGCCCTTCCGAGTGCCCAGCCCGGCCCAAGTGCACCTACGAGAACGTCAGTGGGGGGCTGCGGCTGGGGGCAGGCTGGAGACTGAGCCCGGAGGAGCCGGGCTGGAATGGCCTCGCCCAGCGCCGGGCCGCGCTGCTGCACTACGAGAACCTGCCCTCCCTGCCCCCCGTGTGGGAGAGCCAGGCCCAGCAGCTGGGGGAGGAGGCCGGGGATGACGGGGACTCGAGGGACGGGCTCACACCCTCCTCCAACGGCTTCCCTGAAGGCGAGGAGGACGAGACCCCACTGCAGAAGCCCACCAGCACCCGGGCTGCCCTCCGCAGCCACGGCAGCTTTCCTGTGCCGCTGAGCCGCCACCGAGGCTCCCCGAGGGTCTTCAACTTTGATTTCCGCCGGCCGGGCCCCGAGCCCCCCAGGCAGCTCAACTACATCCAGGTGGAGCTGAAGGGCTGGGGTGGAGACCGCCCCAAGGGGTCCCAGAACCCCTCAGCCCCCCGAGCCCCTGTGCCCACCACGCACCCTGCCCGCAGCTCAGACTCCTATGCTGTGATTGACCTCAAAAAGACCGTGGCCATGTCCAACCTGCAGAGGGCTCTGCCCCGCGACGACGGCACAGCCAGGAAAACCCGGCACAACAGCACCGACCTGCCTCTGTAGGGACGTCCCTCCACCCGCCTGGCAACCTCCGCCTCCCGCTCCTGTGCTCCGAACCCGCACGCCCGGGGTTGGGGTTGCTTCGCAGAAGGGCCTGCACTGGCCGGAGTCCCCAAAGGTATCAGCCACTGAGTCTCCCGGTCTCCTCTCCGAGTCGGGGGACAGAAGAGGGTGACCAGGTGAGGAGGGAGCCGCGACGTAAACTGTGAAGGGCCCCGTGATTGCATTTCGCACCCTCTCGTTATGTCATCTGTCTCGTCTGTCGTCTGTGTGTTTTTTTGGTTGAAATTTGGAAACATTTTGTACCTGTTGATTTTATTTATCAGTTTATTTTTCTATTTATTGTTTTAAATGTAATTTAACATATTTATTATTAATATAATTATTTTTAAATTCTGACTTGGTGGATGATGTCGAATTCTTAGGGAATCTTTCCTGGCATGGTGCTGGGGTGGGAGTCGGGGAGGCCTAACAGAGGTAGGGGTTTCACTCTGGGAAATTTGGGGTGACTGTGGTTTTTGTGACAAGTCATGACCATTTCTTTTTCTCCTCTGAGAAGCTGTGGCCCAGACTGAAAGTTGCCAGGGGTAGCTGCTCTGTCAAAGTAAAGTGACAGGACAGCTAGAGTCCTAGAGGCAGAAAGGGGAGCTGTAAGGAAGGCTAGTACAGGGCTGCACACATCACCCACCCAGGGCTGTGGTTGTGGAAGCTCCCCTTCCCTGTCCGGAGGCTGCCTCTTTTCTCTCCCTCCTCCCACCAGCCTCCCTGCCTCAAGACCCCCAGGTCTCAAACCCCTGAACGGTTAATCTCCCGGAAATCCAATGTCTGCGATGAGGCACTCAGGGCCCTGGTGAGGAGTAGGACAAGCCTTCTTGTCTCTGGTCACCTTTTGTACCCCAGCTCCCTGCCCTGTGGAACGAGCAGACCTGTCCTCCACACCAAGGAAACAGGCCATGGTGGGGCCCACCCACCCCACCCAATTCCCTTCTCCTCCTGCTGTCTTACCACTGCCTGGGCCTCAATTCTGGGAGCGCCCTTTCCCCTGGGCAGGGATTAGACCAACCGGCTTCCAGATCCCCCCGACCTTGGGTGTCACTCTGTTCAGGAAATGGGCGAAGAGGACCGGCTACAGAGGATGTGAGAGGCCCTTCACCTGGGGCCCAGTAGGGTCCCAGGGTACAGCTGGCACCAAACCCTTCTCTCCTTTACATGCTTTTGATCTCTGGACCAGAGGAATCACCTGCGGCAGGCTGGATTCATGCACTTTTCCCCACACTGCGGTAGGGCAGTACTGTCCCCTCTCTGCAGCTCACCCAGACAGGCAGCTCAATTCTGCTTTCTCCACATCCTCCCACGCTACCCCTGCTCCTCCTTTTGGCCTCCACGGTCAGGAGCAATGGACTCTCCAAACAGCATGACCAAGATGGGGGGCAGGCATGGTCGTGCCAGGCCCAGGCCGAGGGCCCCTGGCTAGGCTAGTGACTCATGGGTGTGCTCAGGACCCTCCTTATTCGTGGACCCTGTCATGGGGGAGTCAGGAGCTTGGCTTGAGTCAAGAGGCCGGGTTCTGCTGCTGACTTGGCTATTATCTCTGCTCTCTTGAGCATCTGGTCACCCCAAATAGGCCTCGGCTTTTGCCCCTAGAAAACACGGAGCTAATTGTGAGAAGTAGCCAATGAGATGATGAACGTGGTACCACTTTAGAAAGCAGACCGACGCGGGCAAGCTGTCTTAACCCAGCTGCTCCCCCGGAAAAAACCACTGGTCATCACAACTCTTCAGCCCCTGAGACTGACCTCAGGCTCATTGCTGCTCCTTCGCTGAACAGCTCAAGGAAGAGCAGTTCCGCCACACTCTCAGGGGTCGCCAGGTCTTGGTCAGAGCCTGGCGGTTCCCCCAGAGCAAGCTGTAATCGCTTCAGTCTGCATATTTGTGGGGCATTGGGTGGGGGTCCAGGACATGTCCCAGGAATTGGCTTCCAGCCCAGTGTGGCCGCCAACCTTCCCCGTCCCCTCCCCAGGTCACTGCCTCTGACCCACAAGGTCTACTCTAGGAATTTTCCTCTGGTGGAGCGGGTAGGGTATGAGCGGACGGCTTTCCTGGCGGGAAGGGGCGGGTGGGAGTGATGCCCAGGAGGGCGACCGAGGCTCCTGTGTCTGAGCCTGCCCTGCCAACATCAGGGCGTGGTGTGCGGACAGAATCTGTTTCCATCACCATCATCGTCCAATGATCCCCACCAACATGGTGAATGTTTGCTGACTGCTCAGTTCTCTTAGTTAGAATCAGGCCCTACCCAGCCCCTGGGCGGCCCTCAGGAAAGGACAGGAGCCAGCATCCTGTCCAGGAGTGACATTTCAGGTCAGCCCAGGAGGGGCCCTCCCGGAGCCCACCCCTGGGTAATAATAGCAGTTTACAAGGGTATAAACATGGTGGCTTTCCACGGGGCCTCACGGACCATTTATCTCTTTCTGCTCGCTGGGCTGGATTGTTATCACCACAGTGCAGAGGAGGAAGCAGGTCACGAGGTGGAGTGAATTAGTGGCTTGAGCTGGGGCTGCCTGCCAGTCGTGTCTTTCCCAGGCACTTCTCCCAGCCTGGCCTCAAGGGGCTTAGTTCCCTCAGGTGGGCTGCGGGGAGAGCGAGCGTGTTGGGTGCTGCCCTGGACAGAAGTGGGCCAGGTGTCGGCAAGGGCCACATTCCCCAGTGTTCCCACTCAGGAATCTCTTTGAATGCCAAGCCAGGGCCTTGCCTGGTTGACAGCAAGGTGAACCTGATTTCCCCTAGGGTCGGCCCAGTGCCTACCCACGGACCCTTTCGATGCCTTGGAATGGCTCCCACTTTGTAGGTGGGTGTGCCGGAGGGGGCCTGACCTCGCCCGCCCCCGCTGCCTTCTCCTCCAGGCACCTCAGCCCCACAAGAGGCCCTGAGCTCTGGCGGGTTCTCTGACAATACTTTCAAGCGGAATCATACAGGTGGAGGAGGGTTTATAATGAGGGACACTCCGAGACCCCAGAAAGGCCATGGGAGGCTGAGGCAGGGGTGAGAGGGCCTGTGTGGACCCCTCAGGGCTCTGTGTCTACGGAATCACAGAGTCCAGGATGGAATCTTGTAGGTCAGCTAAGCTGGGACCCATACGGGGATCCCTTCAACAGGATTCCTGGAGATGCTGATCAGGTTTCTGCTCACACACTCCCCAGACAGGGAGCTCACAACCTCACAAGTACTCCCTCCACTTGGGTCTTAGGATGCCCCTAAAACTTTCCCTCAGTGGGTCCTAATTCTGCTCATGGACCCACACACTGCTGTCTCTCTGCCAAGGGAGCTGAACTTTGAAACTTAGCATTACCGCTTGCTAACAACTTGACCTCTTCATGCTTCAGTTTCTTCATCTGTGACACAGGAGCAATAACAGTTCCTCCATCTTGAAATTGTAAGGATCAGGGAATTCCCTGGCGGTCCAGTGGTTAGGACTCCGCGCTTTCACGGCCAAGGCCGTGGGTTCAATCCCTGGTCAGGGAACTAAGATCCCACAAGCCACACATTGCGGCCAAAAATAAAAAAGAAATTGTGAGGATCAAATAAGAGAATGTCTTCCCAGCATGACCTGCGCTCTAGACGTTATGCTTCTGCCTGAGATAGCACTCACTTCACTGGTCCTTCTTGCTTTTGGGACCTTAGAGCTGGCATGCCACCAGGACTTTCCACATAAACATCTGCAGCATTCCTCGCCCCCCAGCGGCTACCTGATGTTGGAGTTCTTGGTTTGTTAAATCAATGTCTGAACCCTCCATCCATTCAGCTGACATTTCTTGTTGTTCGTCTGGGTCTGTCCTGGAATCTAGAGGCACCAGCCCTCGCGGTGAACCTGGAACTGACGGGAAGACAGAAATGGGGCTGGGAGGGAGTTCTCTGTGGTTGGTGGGTCACAAGGACTCGCTGCACCATGTGGGGTTCTCAGCCTAGCTCTTCTGGAAGCTTCACTCTGCCTGCTAGTGGTTGATAGGGAGCCTTGCTACCACTTACCTTGCTCACCAGGTGGACCCCTCTCTTGGCCTCTCTGGGGATGGACATTCCTGCCTCAGGGACCCTGTGGCTGCCTGTGGACTGGGGCTGGGGAAGTCAGGCGAGTGGGAGTATCACTCGTGCTCCAGCTGTGCTCTGTCATTATGCTCATTCTTAAGGGAGTATTAATATAATGACCGAGCTAATGAGCAGTGCGTGGGGCGGGGAGGAAGCACCTTAACCCCACCTGGTGCCTGCTAATTAACGGGGGTCTTTCCTCAGCTGTCTTTTCTCCTTCTCGTCAGCTCTTTTAGCTGGGGAGGCCTGGCCCCTTGGGGGTCCCGTCGCCTCCCTCCACCTGCCCCTCCTTTAGCCTGGCACGGTTCCCCTCTGGGTGAGAAGATCCCAGAAAGAGTGTGGCTGGGACAAGACTTGGGGGTGAGGAGATGGGGGACTGGGGACTCTGGCTCTGGGGAAGAGGAATGTAAAAGCCATGAAACCTCTAATCTTGACTGTGTGCTGCCTGGGCTGGGGAGAGCAGGGCAGCTGTGTCTGAGGAGGGCTTGCGGGGAGATGGGAGCGGCCATGGAAGGAGGGGTAGCGGGCATCGGGCTGAGTGGGGGTGGGGAAGTTTCCAGGTGTTCTTTGAGGCACCTTGCCTCTCTGGCCCAGATGGGCTGGTGCTGGCCAAGATCTTTCCTTTTGAGCTCCTTTCCTCTTGGGATGAAAAGGCCTGGGGAATCTATCAATGTATTGCTATATCAGGGTTGGGGTGGGGTACCCCATGCATGGTCACGCAAGTATAGTGGCCTTGATTTCCCAAGCCATCGTTAGACATAGTGGGTCCAAGTTTCAAAATCTGGATCATGGGCGCTGAGTCCTGACAAAGCCCCACCTCCCCAGATCTCACTGTCTAGTTGGAGAAGCGAGGCTCACACAAGACAGGATTACAGACCACATGCCTCTGCCATTTGAAATCTGTGTGACCTCAGACAGATCACTCAACCTCTCTGAACCTGCTTGCTCATTTATTAAGGGAAACTAATAACACCCATCTCCCAATGTTGTTGTGTGGTAGATAAGAACATACACGTAAAGCGCTCAGTGGGCGCTTGACACAGAGCCCAAGTTTTGCTCTGCTATGGTTGTCATAGCAACAGCCAGTGATGTGGGGAAGCTGGCCAAAAGGGGACCATGAAGGGTGGGGAGGATTTGGGGAAGGAATTGGAAGTGTGGGCCCCAGCAATTAAGCTGGGGGTGTGGGGCTGGGAGGAGAGGAGCGGCTGGGGCGGGAGCTAGATGGTGAGGGAAGGAGGAGGCGGAGGTGACTGCCCTTGACGGGCTTTGGAACAGCAGGCCGTGTGTCCACATGTGATTGGAGGGGGCAGCTGTGGGGC